TTCATTCATGAAAAAAGTAAAAGCTGGGTTCTCATTCTTCCACTTTTGACATGGGACATCTTTTGGGAGAGTCAGTGGGTTGGCCAGATTTCCTTGTTACAGCAGAGAAATGCAGAGACTGAAATTCACCGGGTGCTTTGAAATTCTTTGAAAGAAAGTACACCATGACAGAAACAGGGAAATACTGATACACAGCACAGGCCAAAACCATGATATTTTTCCTGGGAGGAAGGTGAGAGGAGAGGAAAAGACAAAAGGGTAGTTAGCCCTGTAAAGGAGCATGTTCTGATAAAAAAGTGTTACGCTTCCCTGCATGCAAATACTGATCCCTCACAAGCTGCTTCCTCTCAGATCTAATAATCTTCCTTACCTGTTGGAAACACTCTGTAATTACAAGTTCCAATGCCAGCTTCTCATTAACAAAGAAATCTGCCCTCTATTCCATGGGGTTTTGTTTTGCCTGATTAAAAATATTGTTAAAGCCTCCACAAATATTTTTTGTATCCACACAGACTCCTTATTGAATCTGTCTGTCTTCACTTCCTGTCTTAGTACAACTTACTTTTTAAGTTGTTGCCTCACCGCACCCCTGAAGTGGTTGCCTTTAAGTGGTTGGTGAAATGATTAATATTTATTTAGTAAAGCTCTTTGAAGACGATACATGACATAAATATCAGCTAACACTATTATGCTTGCAAAAAACAATACAGCTTTTGTAAGATTAAAAGCCTATTCCCCCATTAGATTTCTTGAAATTTGTTAAAACAGAATAACGTAACCTTCCCTTTGCAGTTTATCCCTCTTATCTCTTCACAGTTTTTAATAGTCAGTATTTCCCATCTGATTACTGCTAATCACATTGTTATACTGCTTTTACAGCCTTGGGGTTTACTACAAAGCTTCTCTATTCCTCCAGATTGGCAGAAAACAGTAGCAGGTAGGGAGCAATATACATTTTCCAAAGATCAGAACCATTATTTAATGTTTTTGTAAATATTTACTTTAGAAGCAGGCTAAACGTTACTTACGATTTGTTCTAAACTGCTGTGTTTAAAGGAAAAAAAATCACGAGGACATATGGAACTCATCTGAAGGAGAAAAAAATGTTACAATTACACAAAAGAATTAATTTCCCTTGCTGTTACCAAAGACTTGTCTTCGTAAAAGCTTGTGGCATGCCTTTGTACCTTAGGTGGAACATCATGATACATATCATGTGGTTTGTGGTCTCCTCTTCCTACTGCCTGAAGCCCTGGCTGCAGTTTCCCCAACCTGACTGTCCCACCAAATTGGTACACACCCGCATCGTGCTCCCACTGGGATTTCTGTTCCTGTTCTGCTCTTTTCTGTTTTTTGTTTTTTTTTCCCCCCTTCTTCTTCTTAGTCATCTTACCCACAAGCGGCATAAATCAAGGCGAGGCTGTGTTTTCACAGCTAGGCAGTTCTTGCAACATCAGGGCTGAGTTCAGGGAAACGGCTGGAAAACTTGCTATACCCACACACACACACACACACCTGCCTTTTGGCGAATGGAAGATGAGCACAGTGCCAAAGGTGTTTGTTTATTCTTGCCCTGGGTGCTTTGATATGTACGCCATCGGTGAGGGTAATCGCCCTACCTCACAACACGGCACCCACGACTGAATCATCTCCTTATAGACCTCCCAGACGTCTTCTCCAGCGTGTGAGATGGTGGGTCACGTCAACGGAGATGTCCCTTACCAGCTTTCTAACAAGGCCCCCTCTGTTCTTTTACCACTTTGGAAGAGATTTGGGAATAGCTACGAAAAGGGTGGACCAAGTCAAAGCCACTCAGCCAGGCAGGCACAGCCAGGTCACTTTGGAAGCGGCACTTGCTGAACACAAGGAACTGTGAACAAATGCACCAGACCCCCCCCGCGACAGTGTCACAACAGCATCAAGCCTGTTGCTTTTAACTACTTTGTGTCAGTTTCGGGAAAAACAACAGGATACAGAGTTGTGATTGGAATTAGTCCTTGTGGTGTCACATCTGCTGGGATACGGGCTGTACAACCCTTCCTGCCCTGTGCTTTGTTTCAGGTGGGGATGCAGCCACCTACGGTGACGGTCCAGCACCCTTCATGCTCGCGGGTGGGCTGGGAGTGAGTGCTGGGGCACCTTTGGGAGACACGTGGGGCTGCTCGAGAGAGGGAGGTGGCGTGGGCACGTGCAGCCAGGCCCTGCCTTCCCCGTTCTGGCGGGGCTGTGTTGTCACACCGGCAAAGCCAGGGCGGCGAGTTGAGAGGCCCCGGTGTCACATCCCCCACGGGCAGACGGGGCGGGGAGGGCACGGGAGAGCTCGCTGCCTGCACAGCAGCCCACACCTGCCTGCTGCCACCTCCCCGTGTCCCAACAGCACGGGGCCAGGGGTTACTCCAGGCCACCGGCACCCCAGTGTGACCGTGACTCGGTTGCCTCCCTGGGACCACCCTGTGCCGCAGTGACGGGACACCCTGTGGGCTAAAAAACTCATTTCTGTCTCTTTCTCTGAACTTTAAACCTCAGGGTAGAACCAGAAAATTAAATATTTCTTTGCAGGAACTATAAACGCCATGAGAAAAACTAATCCCCTGCTCCTTTCCATCATTTTTACCTGTTGGAAGATCTCGGAGGAGAAGAGAGAGGAGGATGAGAGTCCCCACTTCAGAGCTGCTGGTGCTGATGCCACAGCTTGAATGCTCTCCTGCCTCTGAAGGCCAGGAGCAGAGTCCACCGGTTGTGCATGTGGTGGTTTGAAAGTCCCCTTTAGCAGCCCACGGACCTGCATTTGTTCATCGGTGACCCCTGCAAGTGGTGTCCCTCTCAGTCTTCACAGGGCTGTCGGAAAGCCACCTTTATAGCCAGCCAGGCTTGAGTCTGCCACTGTCCTTGGCAAAACCCCTGCTGGCTCCACTCCGAGTTTTGCCAGAGCAAGGGCCCCGCCTCATACTAGAAATTAACGTATTTCATCAGGAAAACTTTGGTGGCTTTGATTTTTCTCAATAAAGGAAGGAACTTCCCAATTTTGGACAGGGTTTTCACGTGTGGAAGTGGTGGAAGGTTGGGATCCAGATCTGCACTCTGCATACAGTAGAGTGCAGAGACACCTGGGTCCACCAACACAGCAGGGCTGGGTGGTGTCCCGCAGGGAGAAGGGGCCATGTCCAGCACCCTGACCCCCATCCCTGCCCCAAATGGATCCACGGGCAGGAGTTCCTGCAAGCAGTGGCAACAGGTTGTCCGCCTGTCCTCTCCTCCGAAACCTCATGGGTTTACAGCGGTGAGCACTCGGGAGGAGGCTGGAGGTGCAGCTGCTGCAACAGCCTCCACAGAAAGCACCAGCCCCTCAGGTATCCCGGGCGTCCTCCTGTCAGCAAGAACCAGCTCTCATCTTGCTGGAGGAAGTTTCAGTCCGAGTGGAATAGCTAACAGGAGATGCACGTTATGAAAACACACGGACAGAGATTTCTTTCCATCCTCCTGTGAGGCTGAGGAGGCGGGGGACCCCCCTGGGGCAGCCATACCGGTGAGGACAGCTGAGGTGCAGGCTATGGTGCTGCCAGCGCCATGCAAGTCCCACGTCTTTGACCTGTCCTCCACCCCGGAGCTCGGCGAGGTCTCGCTGCCCCTGGTTTCGGAGGGGCCGGGGGAAGGTGCCGCCTGTGAGGGAGGACATGCCGCCGCACGCCCGGTAGCCGAGCCGGGTCAGGGCTGAGGGGGGGGCGCGCGCCTCAGGGCATCCCCTCGGGAGGCGGCTGCTCTCAGTTCCTGCCCGGCACAAGCCCCGACTGGGTGGTTTTGTGACTTTTTTTTCTTTTCCTTTTTTTTTTTTTTTTTTTACTTTCTGAGTGCGGGAATGTCGAAACTTTCCCGTTTTCCGTGAGCGAAGCGCCACGCAGGTGCCGGCACTGCTTGAAGGGCGGCGGGCGAGGCGGGAAGGCCGCCGCGCGACTGGGCCGGGCCGCCATCTCCCCCTGGCGGTGGCCCCGGGGAGCGGCGGCGGCGGCGGGAGGCGCGGGCGGGCCGGGGCGGCTGCGCCAAACTTTCCGCCGGAGCCCGAG